AGTTCCAACCTCTATCCATTAAGCTGCCCTGCCCCTTATTTAATTCTAATACATCTGATCCAGCCAATCAGGGACTTGGCTACTGAAATGACTTCATTAACCCTGCTAGCTTGCTAGTTAGCATGCTAAAGGCTACACAGCTAACAATAATAAAGGCACTTCACAGTTCTACACCAAGTCTACAGCCAGACAAAGTCATAATTTTATATACATTATGTAAAAACTTTTTTTTTACAAACAGTTTTGTTTTGCAATGTTTGCGTGGTAGCTGATTAGCACACTATGGCTAACTTGCTGAGGCTGTGCATGTTCTACCTCAACAATCTGCTCCTCTCCTCTTCTGCCGCAAATGGCTACTTGTGTGACCTGGATATGACAAACACCCGAGGGGTGAGTCAAATTGGCTGATGGCTTAAAAGTTAAAAATATTGAAACAGGGCTCTTTACTTAGGTTGGAGAAAAGAGGCCTACAGCAAACAGCCCATAGCAGGTTAACCCTGCCCATTCATGCTGAAGTTGTAAAGAGTGTTTCACTCTAGGCTGCTTTTGGGGTAAGGAACAATACAGGTTAGCCAATAAGAACAGAAGTCATTTACATATGTCAGTTTCAAAGGCAGAGTAACAAAAACAGCCTGTTTAATCCTAAGGTATAAAGACAGGCTGGAAAATGATCATGTAGAAGTGAATTATGACTTCTTTTGATGCAAAAAAACACACAAATATCATGAGTGGATCTCAAGAGAAAAAAAAATAAATCTGAGAAAAATGTAGGATATGAGACCTTTTAAGCATGGAATGTGTTGTCTGTTAATCCAGGGTGTGTTGTACTGACATGTTAGTTTAGGCTAAGCATTCAGTATCACTGGTAGGCTAGCTGGCTTTAACCCCCACCGGTTTCCCCTACTTACCCAGTTCTCTGGCTAACCACCAAGCACTCAGTTTTATACTTTTTTGCCAATAAAGGATAAATCACATGGTTTAATGATGCTAACCTCTTCTTCATTGATGCCACAGTATGACATTCTTTGCCAAAGCCTTTATTTTTGACTGACTGAAAAAGGCAGGTGTGCTGGGTCTGTACATCATCACGTGAATGCCAGTGTGCTTGTTAATGTCAATTGTACCAAACATGTAATGCTTTAACAGCTAATGCTTGTTTGTTGTTTCTCATTTTTTCATTTTCTCTGCAATTTTACTCATTTTCAATTCTACTAGCATGGTCTCCCTCAGTAACACAATGCTACCAACGCTAGGAGGATGAAAGCTAGCACAAGCTTTTTCTAAGTTACATAAAGCATAACTGCATTTTTTCAAACTGCCACTAACACAGTTTCACTGGACAGGTCAGTGCGATTGGAGGAAAACACTAACTTCCAATTTTGTTAAATCAGCTAATAGACACCTGAGTTTGCTAGCATTATGCTGAATGATGGAGACAAAGGAGGGCCAATTACGTTCTCTTCCAGCAACAAATGGCAGTGATTTTAGTGATGATAGTGCCAACACAAAGATATAACAATATAACATAAATTTTATGTATGTGCATTTAGCTTGCACTTTTTTCGTGCAGCACTGCTGACATGCTGTTGTGTGATGTAGCGTGTTTGGCATAGCAGCCTCACTGATCACATCATGCCACATTAAATTAGATTGTTATCCTCTTATTTTTCTCACACATGGACCAACCCATATGCTGATACTCCAGGCTCACTCATCACATTATCTTTTACAAGCTTATATTTAACTCATTTGTGGCTAGCAGTGGCGAAACATTAGGGTCTTCTAGGCCTTCTCTGAATGATTAAACTAAACTAAAAATACATGCCATGTCATTTTTAGTTTGTTGTTATTTAATAGAATCATTTAGCTTGTTGCAAAAGAAATTTCATTGTAGTGATACTCTCATTTCATTTTTAGGTTTTGATTGCAAATAAAAGGGATCAAATCTTGAAACGCCCAAAGGAAAACAGTCCAGTCAGAATTGTTTTTTTGTCTGAGGTATCTAGGCAGATACAGCCAATCAATTTCTTCCATTGGTTAGGAGCTGAACTGAAGGCCTTGTGCTTTAAATCAACTGCCAACGAAGTTAGGAAGTGACAGGAATCAACTAATAACATTTTAGATTCTGATGGGTGGGACCACTTTTTTGAGAAAACATTTCAAAGATTTTGGGTAAGAGGTCGCTGCTAAGTCCATGTCAATGCAGTCCTTGCTCAAGTCTGCAATATTGTCATATAAAGGGCACTTTGTGAGCTTGTTTATGAGCTTCAAATGTCTGTGTTTAATCTAGAACAGCCAAAAAAAATTCTTGTGTGTCAGCATTAGCTTAGCGATAACATACTGTTAGAATGCTAGTAGAAATTAGCATTATGGTGAAGGTATTTTTTTTTGTTTGTTTGTTTTAACAGAGTTTTGACATTTACCACCCAAACTGAAGCCCTATCTCTAAGTGTAACTTATAGTTTATGTTCAACTTGCAGGCCACATGGTAAAACACCTGCTGTTTAATTAAAAGAGAATTGACTGAATTGACTGAAATTCACTGAATTTTTCTAGGATTCTACATAATTAAGTTAAAGTCATTCAGAGTGGTGAAATGATGTGAATTCCCCTTTAACTCTCATCCCGGTTGGACTTTTATGAAGACTGTTGGTGTTGTAGGTTTTAATTTAACAGTATTGATCGTCTGTTTTTCACCACATTCTTTTCTCTTTCCCCAAAGGTCATTTGTTCACACAGGTACTCAGACAGAATTGGACACAGTCGGAGTTCTAAACATTTGTTGTCTCTTTCTGATGATTCAGTGGAGTGAATTCATGTGGAGTGATTACTTTTAGTCCTGGACACAATCAAGCCATTAACGGTGATCCTCCTTTGGAAAGTTATGCTGCATACAACTGGAACAAAGTCCCAGACCTTCAAGGTGCCCCGAATGTAGTGAATTTTAAATCCAGGTTAAATACATTTCTCTTTTCATGTGCCTTTTATGTTTTATTAATTTGCTTTTATGCACTTTGCACTTCATTTTAATTATTTTGTTTTATTTCCTTAAACTATTGTACTTTGTATCTTCTTAGCATTTCATTATTCCATTTCTTTTACTTTGCATTTATATTGTATTCACTCTTAAGCACTTTGTCTTTATTTTTCTTTTTATTGTTCTTTTTGCTTTATTTATATAAGGCAGATTGAAATGCCTTTGTATATGAAATGTGCTACATAAATAAACTCACAATGCCTTGCCTTAGTAATTGCTCCCTTAGTTACTCAATCAACCAGTTAACCAAACTGGTTGATTGGTGCCAGCCCTGTTGAATCTAAACATAACAAAACCTTTCCAGCCATGTGAAGTAAACTAGCAGGTCTCAATAAACAGCACACTATAATGCAATCACAAGAAAATCCAGAAGAGATGAGATAGAGAGTTAAATTAAAATATATCAATCTGGAAAGGATTACAAAGTAACCACAGTTAGAGACATCATCCCCAAAATGGAGATAACTTGGAACAGAGGTGAATCTTCCCAGAAGTTGCTGGCCTACCAAAATTCCTCTAAGAGCACAGCAATGACTCATTAGGGAAGTCAGCGATTTTATACTTAAAGGAATCAATATTTTCTTGATGTAAAAACAGAACATCATACACCAGCACTCTAAACACTACATAAAAGCAACTATTCTGTCTGTTCTTGGGTTTATACTTGTATTTATTTCTTATTGTGGCTCAGTGCAGACATCTTTCACTGGCAGGTGAAATCCTGAAGTTCATAATTGAAGGTCTTAATCAGAGATAAGCAACAATGTCAATGTTTCAATCAAAGATAATCAATAGGTATTTTTTATAGAAAGTAAAGTAAAAGAAACTCATCTCAAGAAGTACTTCAAAAAATTTACCCAATGCTTATATTCAGAAATTTCATGTTAACAACACAATGCACCCTTTGAAACTCAGATCTTTATAAAACATTGATTGACAAGACCCTTAGTCAGTCATGGCCAACTCTGAGCACAATCTAATGAACTGAATTTTAATGGAGCCAAGCAGGTTCAAATAGAACATGAGTTGGTCACTTTCTTATAATCTTCTAGCACTGTGGTCTGAAAATGTTGACCGTTTAGGATGATACAGATAATGTTTGACGGATATAGCAGGCAGGACTTTGCTTGTGTTTATTTAGCAGACTTTTGGAATGAGATGTCATTACTGATGTTTTCATTTTTCATAAGCTCCAAACTGATGAGACAACCGTGATGTTTCTTGTGGTTAATTCATGTTTTTCTTTTGTTGATGATGATATGAGGCCTGTAGCCCTGCTGGGCAAATTGCACTTGTGTATAATTCTCTATAACAAAAACAGCTGTCAAGGCATTCTTTCTTCTTGATAAATATATATTTTTAAAGGGATCAAATCATGGAAAACTGAACTTCTCTTGCTTTTTTTAAATAATTGAGTTTAAGTAATATGTAAACATTTTTCTCATCAGCCCATAAGGCCATATATCTGCAAAAACAGCCTGTTTTGAATTTATTGTTTCTGTGAAGTCATGAGAATATTTTGCATATGTCCACCTATTAAGGCCACAGCAGTTTAGCCCCGCCCATTCATACTGAAGTTATAAGGAGTGTTTCAGCTTGGGCTGCTTTTTGAAGCGGCACCTTACAGGACAACCAATCAGAACAGAGATTTCTCTTACCAGTCTTAAAGGCACAGAAATAAACAAAATATCTATGTGATTTTAAGGGATAGAGTAAAAATAAATTATGATCGATTTGGTTCACAAATGTGTAAGTGGACCTCAGAAAAATAATAATAAAACACAAGAGTAATGTAGGGAACCAGCCCTTTAAATGTATGTCTGTGTGTCCTTTTTTAAAGTTTTTCATACACTGCCTTCTCTCCATACTGTTTTTATATTTACTGTGTCAATTGTGCTTTTTTTTATTAATTTCGAAAACTAATAATAAAAAAGTTTATTTTTTTATTGCAACCGGCTGCGTCGCATTTCAACCCTCGCGTCACTTCCGTCCCCCTCTCTCGCGTCCATCTTGCTCTCCGCGTGTGTTCGCTGCTAGCGTGCAGGTCAGTGAGGAACCTCTAAAACACTCTTTTTCCTGCACAGACACTCCCAGCTTTGCGGCTCAAGGTAAATTAAGTGACCGGTGTGCTGGACCGGTGGTTATTTCTTACGGATCGTCCGCGGAAAGCTCGCTGAGTTGAGTAGAGAGCCCGGGTCGCGGGCCTGGCGGAGCGAGCGGCCCGAACCAGCTAACCGAGCGCAGCAGGCTAACGGTTAGCGTGCCGCCGCTGGATGAGGCTGGAGCCAGGCTCGTCACTGTTGGTTAATTCACCTTCTTTTACGGACATTAAAGTCGCATAAGTAACATTAACCGCTGTCGTTACGGCTAATGTGCGAGTGTTTTACTCATAACTGTGGTGTCTTCGTTTGTGTTCTCTGTGAGTCTGTTCGCCTAGACGAGCCTCAGGTAACGTTAGCATTAGCGCAGCGCTGCCTCTCAGGCCAAGTTCACGCCGTGTCTGTCTCTTGTGGACGGAACAGTTACAGGTTCCGTCCCGCTAATTGTAGCCTTACCTACTTTACTAACCAGATATGATATTCTGACAGCGGTCTCGATGTTGTCCTGCAGAAATGCTAACTAGATAACTTGTAATTCTCGGCAGAGGTAGCGTTAGCCGGCGCCTCGGCCTGTAACATGAGTGCAATCTCTCTGTTCAGTTAGATAAACATCAGTTACAGCTAGATTTGGTGCTCAGAACGTTTTATATCTACCGTTGTTGGTTAAGAAGTCTCTCTATTTCAAACATAAGACATATATTAAGAGACACTAGCTGGTGAAGTCACTTCAGACCGCACCCCTGCGAGCTATCAAACCTGCAGCTAAGTGTTAGTTAGCTGTCCTGCTGACTGACTTGCTCTGCGCTCACTCACATGTGCTGTTTCCTACAGATGAAAGAAACAGTAATGAACCAGGAGAAATTAGCCAAGCTGCAGGCGCAAGTCCGCATCGGTGGAAAGGTAAGAACGGAAAGAATATTTTTAGACCACATATGTAACCTGCTAACTTTATTTCTGATTTCTGATCATTTTGTATGTCTGTCGAACAGGGAACCGCACGCAGAAAGAAGAAGGTTGTACACAGAACCGCCACCGCCGATGACAAGAAACTTCAGTTCTCCCTGAAAAAGTTAGGCGTCAATAACATCTCCGGGATCGAGGAGGTGATGTCTCATTTCGCTTGACTGTTTTGTTAGATGTGTTTAGGAGGGATTACGTCCATTTTGCGTGGAACGTGTTTAGACAGTTATTCAGTGTGTCTGGGCTGATACATGTAGGGTCAACCATGTGGAAGGTGTGACGGTGTACATTCAGTTCTGTCCTGTGTTTGGTTTTGGATAATCAGTCACTTGTCTCTGTGTTTGGATAACATAATACTCATTTAACTGGGTTTTTTTCAAGTGTGTAACAAAGATTGTGACCAAAAACAGCCTGCGAATTCTGGCAGTGTCAGAAATTGAGGTCTAAAATATCAGTTTATCTGCTGCTGTATCAAAAAAGCAATTAACACGTGTCAAATCTTTTTTTTAATGGGGAATGGAATGACTTTTTGTGTGGAAGAGACAAGAAATTAAAGTTAACTTTATTATGCATTTTATGTTTTAGCTCAAATGTTAGTTCGGCCCTTCCTTTAGTTTACCAGTGCCAGCATCGCTAACTGCCACATAATGGACAGAAAAAGGCCCAAGGACCAAGTTCACATGTTCAACGGTTCATGGCAGTTTAATGTTTTGTTTACAGACAGAATTGAGTGTCATATGGTGAGGCCTTTTTATTGGTCTGCCGACCTAATTTTTGGCACAATGTTACTTTCTTGCATTATTAGCTTGTTACCCCAAAATCTTTAACATATAATCTGACTTGGCACACATGGGCTTAAATGATGCAGCACAGCCTGCCACAGAAGATTGGCCAAGATCGCATTTGTATATAAGATGTGTAACACCACTGTCACACAGTTTACAAGGCACTTTATGAAGGGGCCATCACATTTTCACAGACAAACATATGTAATGCCCATGAGTCGAAACAATGTATTGCACACAAACAAGCTGTTACTGTGCGAATATATAAAGATTCTTAAAAGTTAGCCTGAGCGTCAAATCAGGTTGGAGTGATTGATTTATTTTGCCAAAGTGGTTTGAACAAATTGGTGTTAGCATTACTAGTAAACAGCCTAAAATTACTTTTACCCTTTTAAATGGGGGGGGTGGGTGGGGGATCATCTGATTCAGACCAGTCTAACCAGAAGCTGTGTCACTGCAGTCTGTTAACCCCTTAAGTCTTTTGTGTCACTCTGCAGGTGAACATGTTCACAAACCAGGGAACAGTGATCCACTTCAACAACCCCAAAGTGCAGGCTTCGCTGGCAGCCAACACCTTCACCATCACAGGCCATGCCGAGACCAAGCAGCTTACAGAGATGCTGCCCTCCATTCTCAACCAGCTCGGCGCGGACAGCTTGACCAGTCTGCGAAAACTCGCTGAGGCCCTGCCCAAACAAGGTATGATTGAGTTATTAGCTGTTGTGTTTTGCCCTCCATTTCATTCAGTTTGTTACACTGAAACAAGGAAAAGAACTGATCAAATGTAAAAAATACCCAGTGGTTGAACAGTAGTCATTTAGTTTTCTAATCTATTTTGAATGACAATTCCATATGCGGAGATGCTTGGGGAGTGGGGGGTGAAATGTTTTTTGGCTGAGTGTATTTTCCCTTGACAATTAAAAGTAGATATAGCTGCATTTGTAATTTCAGGTGATGCACTTGTTTAAAAAGCATTGCAGGGATTCTCATTTTCTGCATGGTATTTGACATACTGATTTGAGTGAGTGTGCTGTCTGTAGAGGGAATTGTGAACAGGTGTGTGTAAGGGGGTGGGGGTAGGGTATGACATTTGGCAGGGTGCAGCTGATTCTTCAATAGAAGGTCCTGTAACTTCTCTTCCAAATACTATTGTAGACTGAAGAAGGGGGTTTAGATTCCCTGTTTTTTCCTTCTTCTTTTCTCTGCATATTCTACATGTAAACATTTTTTACTTCAGGAGTATGCTTAATGTACTCTTTTAATCTAGGGGTCTAAAGTGCATTGTGAAGCATTGTTTTGAGGGTGGTGATTCGTATATCCATTACAATGTAAGCATGCATTAAAATAACATTTTACAAAATATGCAACAATTTTCAGCCAAAATAAAGTTTAATTAGGCCTGAGCAACAAGATGATGTGATTGGATATCGGCGATGATTGATGAGTAAGCAGATGACTATGCTATGGGAACAAGAATTGACAGAGTTAGAGAGGACAGTTTAAAGGCTGCTAAATAATATTGAACATGTCGTCCAAATGTAAAAATGCAAATAAGCTTGGTGTTGTTTAAGTAGACCCGAAGATGTGTGTCATTCTGTAATCGTTTTCATTCCCATGTTAGCAACTCCATGTTTTAAGCATATTTCTCTGAGGGGAAAAAAAATTATCGCAGTTTTTCAAAAAAACGCTTCTAACACGTCCTGTGGTCGAAATATGAATATTGCTACATACTTGCTACAAGCAAGCTCGCTCTTCCGCTTGTAGAAATGACATCCCATGTGAGTAATACTGTTAAACTTCAAGGGTGTTATAGCACAGTCTGTAGGCTACTACTGCTAAGGAAATTTTACTACCACACTGGACAAAGCTTGATTATTTTTGTGGGATTTTTGGGTAATGTTGCCAATCTTATGTCAACTCAGTGCACAGCAGTGTTAACTTTCATGTTATAATATTCATATTTTGACTTAACAACTCGAAATTTAAGGGATCCAGCAACATTTGGAGGACTAATGTACATACAGCGACACATACTGACTTTGCAGCATTTTACTTTGCCACAATGCATGAAAACGGCATTCATTTGTCTCGGAGAAAACCAGCACAGAAGCAGGCTTTCTAATATGGGCATAATGCTGATTTGGCCAGCTACAGAATAGATACAGCTTTAGAGGTATATAGCTTCTCTACTTACAGTTCATAACAGTTGTATATTTAAAAGTAATTGTACCAGTACATCTGGTTACAATACATACGTTTTCATGATACATATCACTGTTTTGACACATACAATGCTCTTGTCATTTAAACACTATCAAAAAGAATGAATATAATAATTCAGCGTTGCATGCAGTGCTACACTAAATCCAATTAAACAGGACTATTTATGCTCTATGCAATAAAACATGACCATATCTGCAGTATGCCCAGAAATGCAAATTGTTTTATCACAAAATCTGTCATTATTACGATAAAATGTAGTCATATTGCCCACCTCTGGTCTTTGAATAGTCTCTTTAAAAAAAATAATAAATAAATAAAAACACTGCTTGGCTGAGAATGGAAGTGATGTCAGGAAGCTGAGCTTTCTCTGTAGTTAAAAGTAGACAGTACTGTCAGATGGTAATTGTACATCAGAACAAAAACAAGTGTGGTGCGTCATCCTTTGTTTGGAATCTGAAGACTAGGCTTATGCTGTTTTCGTTTGTGAGTGGATGACTTGTTTTCCAATTGGTACTAAGCAGATATGTCAAGTATCATAACTGCTGCTAACTCTGTTCTGTTATTTATTGCAGCAGGAGATGGAAAGGCACCAGTGGCAGCAGGAGAGGAAGATGATGATGAAGTTCCAGGTTAGTAGGCCCTTTTCACTTTTTTTCTTTTGAGCTTTATTACCCATCTAAAATCATTTGTAATTGCTCTCAAAGTCTGTACTCATGAGCTTCTCCCCCACACAACTATCCATCCACCTGTCTGTTTACCCACCCACTAACTCATAGTATATACTGTGTACATTTTATATTATTCCCTGTAGGTTGCATAGCTACAGAATGATTGCCATATGTGGTTTTCATGTAGTAACATAAGCGCAGCACAGCTTGCTTTCTTCAGCACAGTCAGTTGGGTCATGACATCAAAACAGTTTCAGGAGGCCGGTTTAAGGTTTAAGATTCATCTGTCAGAATGGAGTTTAAAACTGTATGGTTTATGAGCCCTGAAAGCAGGCTTTGCTTTTCTTTTTGAAGAAAATGAAGCCAACGCACAAGGTTGCCATTATGATTACCCTCTTGCTCTCACCTAGCCAGCTCCTTCCAGCAACCCAAATTCAGTCAACGTAACAAACGATTACATCTCCTGCTCTACCAAATGAACTTGCCGCACATGATGACAAGGGGTTAACGGCTCTTGCCGTCTCGCCGTTACTAAGCTTCGTCCTTTTATTTTTTTTTCCAGTCCCTTCTGAAAACAATCAGATCAGGGGGCCCCTTCTGTAAGTGATTTGAGTCTGACACCCTGGAGCAGAACAGTGGAAGTCTCATTTATCAGATTTCATCTCATAAAAGGCAACCTGCTTTTGATCCACCGCACTTCCATTTTTACAGCTGCGGACTTTCCAGTCCCCCAGCGCTCGTTTTTTGGTCGCCCGGGAACACACACATTTGTGTGTGCGTGCAAGCTTGAGACAGTTGACGTCCTCAAGCAGACGGGGCAAAATAACCCGAATCATGTTTCATATAAACACTAGCAGTTCCAGCATAGATTAGATGTAATTCCTGGCACTCTTGATTGGATGGTCATGTAATGCTTCAAAGCGTGTCCGTAGCCCCACAGTTCGCACCTTCTTTCGTCTTTCATTCAGATCTGTTAACCCAGCCAAGCTGAGTGTAACAAATGTTATTTGTAGTTCGTAAATTAGGGCTGTAGCTATACAGAAATTATATGTATGCCAAGATGTTTACGCAAGATGTTTCATACAGAAGTTTTAGAGAGCAAGTGTTCTTTTTGTATTTATATATTTGGACCAAAGTCCAATTTACAAACCGTGACTGCTCGGTAAAAGCATAAAAGCAAGTAATTTTAAATTTAGAAACAAAGTGTCACATTTAATGAATGAACCAGCGTAAGTGACCATTGCTTCCACAGCTTGTCAATGGAACTGTTCCTATGTGTTTTTATTAAAGGGTCAGTGAAATGATGTGCATTTTTTCTTTATGGTGTCCAAGTCCATTAGTTTCCCTATAGAATAATTTGGCAACATAAATCAGGGTATTGCATCATGAGGATCCCAAGTGACCCTTTGTGGTACATTGCCAAGGTCAGCAGACCTTTCAAGAATGTTAACAAGAATGGGTCATTTTTAAGTCATGGTTAGGCTGGTTCGGTTTACCAGATCGGGTTGTATGATTCCATGTTTTATTGTTTGATTATTTTGGTTGGGGTGGGGGGTATAAATGGGAGTTCTAGGACAAAGGTTTATATAGGTGTCCGAGTACAAAGACTTTCAGATAAAACCGATTATCTTGTTTAGAAATAAGTTTACACCATTGTACAGGCTATAAAACAAGCATGGAATAGATTCTTGCCGATATAAAAATGGAGATCCTTTAGTAGTTTAATTTGTTTTGTAATTTGGTTTCCAAAATAGTTTTGCAGTCCGCCCTGACGATAAAACAAATTAAAAAGAAACCATTCCCCAGTGTCTGTCATTTTAGTAGTGTAAAAACAGTTTGGCTCACAGCGTATTGTCTCTAAATCTCCCATTAACTACATTATAACATCCCTGTTGTAAATTCTATCCTTTGCAGATCTTGTGGAGAATTTCGATGAGGCTTCAAAGGATGAGGCTAACTAACTTGAAGGGAGGGTCAGACGTTTGGAAGCTCCTGTCTCAGCTGGGTCATGTGGGACTCTCCCCCCCCACCACTCCCCCAAACCCCTTTTTGGGCAATTGTTTTTTTTTTTTTCTTTTATAAATATATTTCAACCCCACTCGTCCTGTTTGTCCTCTTGTGCACTGCTGTGTCCCCCTTGTGTCCAGGCTGAGGGTGTGAGATTGTGTTTACCGTGCAAAGCTTCACACAGTGAGGTGTGAGTGTGTGCGGTCTGTGGGGCGTCCTGCCCGTCTATCTCCCTGTTACTGAGGCTCACTCCTTTGTGGCCTAGCTCAAGCCAACATCTGGAAATAAACATTTGCTATTAAATGCTTATTAAATACATCACTGCCTTCTCTGCACATTTTTCATTTGACTTATTTTTACTTCTTACAACCAGCTGGTATGTAGCGCTTTCATCTCACTGGAAAAAGAGGTTTAGTCACTTATGTTTCTGTTTTAATGCTTCAAAAAGATTGTTGTGTGTAGACTATGGAAACTGATGGTAATGTTCTCTAAATGTCTACGAAACTTGGTCTTTTGGAGGAGAAAAAGGTTAAATGTGTAGCCTTATTTTTGGTAGTTTGTCAAAACAGTTTGCATAAGACATTGCTTAGTTTAGGAAAAAACATTTTATTGCAATAATACTGATCTGTTGACTCGGTTTAACAGGCACCTTGTTTTGTATCATTTATTCTAAATTGAGCATACACTGCATCTCAAACAACTGAAGACTTCATGCTTTTAAAGTGAAGTTTAAAACCAGCTAGAATGTATGCATTTGTTACTTTCTAGTGAATTAGGGTTGGGTTAATACATTTTATAGCATCTCTTAAATCAAATCAAGCATTGCTTAAATCAAAAACCTTATTAGTTGGTCTGTTTAGGATCAGTGAGCGAGTAAGCATGCTTGTTCCAAACTTAAGCCTCCTGATTGGTTGTCTAGATAGCATTCCATAAGTGTGTTAAAGTCAATGCTTCTTGATTAGTTTCTTTTTTTTGTTTGAACTATATCAAATTGTTTTTAATGTATGACTGAGAATGAACACCAGTGAATCAGGCTTTTGTCATTTGGACTAAATGTTTAACTATTTTAAATTGGGTACCCAATGCTTGATCATTTTCTCATGGTTGCTTAATTGGTTTGTAATGTGGTGTAGATTAATGTATACAGATTTATTCTAATTTATTGCCCAACAGCAAATCATTTTATGCACTAGTTCAGTTACATTCCAGTCATTTGAATATTCCACCAATAGAACAGTGGACTGGCCAAGTAGGAAAAGAAGCTGAGCTGAGTTCATCAGGGCATTCATTTTGATCTTTCATTTTTCACAAACTGTTACTGTCAGTATTACATAAATGAAACCTACCAATTTACCCTATTTGTCTTATAAAAATATTTGCAGGATAATAAAAAAAAGACATAATTGAAATGAAAAAAAGTACTTTCTGCTTTTGCCTGTCATTTTATTGTAAAATTTAGTTGGCAGGTTCAAGTACATAATGCAAACAGTTGGTTTTTGTATTATTTCATTAAAAAAAACCTACACTGAGTTCACACAGAACAGCTTCACACATAGTCCACGCATCTAAATAAATATACACAATACATAAAAGTTAAGGGATGCCTACACATTTTTTTGCACACTGTCATAATAAAAATGACCAAAAAAATTAAAACAACATAACGGACGAAGAAACCACAGCGAAAGTGGTTTCTACACGAGTAATGTAAACATGCAAAGTGATGAATTGTCCAGTTCATCTGTTTTGTCTAACAGACCTCCTCAGTGATGTTCAGTTATATTCAGTTCCTTTCTCTCCTTCCTCAGTAACAGTTACTCTTTGATTCCTTGTAGCAGCTTCAGTAGATGTGCTTCCATGACCTGTTGAACTGGAAGGGAACATGTTGAGATAGGACGCTCTGCAATTGTGTTTTTGAGGGTTACAAAATAAACAAGCGTTTGCTGCACTGGTGGGATATTTAATGCATTTGTCCAAACTGGTAAAATAAGTGAAAGTGTAGTTACCATGTCTATGGCCCATTGCCACAGCCATGTCCATAGCATTGAAGCCTGAGTCAGACTCCATGGTTGGGTCAGCTCCATTCTCTGTTCAAAGAGTTCAATGTTACTTACTGTACAGAAAATTTTAGTATACTGCACAAGTCATTGTACAACTTTGTCAAGCTTCAATTTAGCACTCTTACCCAAGAGGATTTCCACACAACGGACATGATTACCATGGACAGCATAAAGTATAGGGGCTCCTCCGTTCTGTAAGCGCAAAAACATGCCTGTAGGTACGACTCTTCACAAAACAGAGCTATCTCTAAATTTACGATATCTCAGCTGTCTGCTGGATACTTTACTGAAATAAGTTACAGAGCATTGAAAATTGGACTAAAATTATACTTTTACTAACAATAACTTACAATAATAACACAAGCATATCGGTATCGGCAGGTGACTGCTTTAAAAATGATCATCGGACAGATGTTTAGATTTGGCCAATATTTTAAACTGATATTTGATCATATATTTACTGCATGCTGGAAGAACATAACATTTAATTATTTTACTGAATTTGTTACCCTACAGAAATCATAGGGCTGTAAGGCTTAGTCTGGTAAATTTAGTCCCCATTTCTACATTTATTTAAATGTTTGTGCATCAGCATCAGCAAATATATACATGAAAAATATTGTCATCGGCCTACAATTCCCATATTAGCCCGTATACGTGCTTATTTTGTTTATAATTAGTTTCATTCCATCAGTTTAATGTAAAACATTTAAAATCCTTTTGACAAGACTTGAAAACAGTTATTATTTTTTTTTTTTTAATATCTTGAACTGACGTCTATATATATTCTTGGTTCTCTGAGGTATTTCAGTTTAGTTCCCCCTTCTATTTATCAGGAATTAACTAGGCTACATTCCAAACATGTTCACGAAACATAGCCAAGACGACTAGCAGTTGCATACTTCTTTAATTTTAATTGTTAAAACAAAGTGTAAATGCTACCACAGCATCTGAGAAAAGCCACTGCAAAATTAGGCATTTTAGTCAGAAAAATGGCCAAGCGATCCTGCTGGGACTGAAAAAGCACATTCCTACATTGTTGTACATGTGATTCTCAAAAAGTGTTTCTTACCCAGTCATACTCGTTGACGTCCACACCACAATCAATGAGCATTCTGACTATGTCTGTATAGCCTTTACTGCAGGCTAACGACAATGCACTTTCTCTTCCTTTTGCCAAGATGTGGGGGTCCGCACCCTACAAAAAAAAAGTGAGTGCATGTTGGGTGTTGTATGTACACTAATTTGTACTATATGGTCTATTTTGTATTTCAATGCCTGTTATGACTTGGCAACTGCACTTGACGGAAATCAGTGTACTTACTAAATACTTCTATAGTATCAACCTAAGAAAACTCACATTATAGTTTTCTTGTTCAGATTAAGGTTTTTGATGACTGTAGATTATGTGTGTTGTACTCACGCTCTGTAACAGGAATTCAACCACAGCGATCTGACCATGAGCTGCCGCCCACATGAGTGGAGTGAAGCCCTCTTCGTCCTGCAGGTTTATGACTGACTCTGATTGGTGGGAAACAAACAGGTGTCATTACAGGATTATGAAGAGGTAACTGTCAATGAAAACACATCTTAGTATATATAATTACATAAGCTTTACCTTGTTCTATTCGACTGGCTAGGAACACCATTTCACCTTGTGCTGCAAGTTGGTGAATAGACAGAGCTGCAAAAAATCACAAGTTGAAAGAATTATGAGAAATGTGTAGTATGTACGGTATGTACAGAAAAGACTACAGTGGTGAGAAAAAACAACTTCACCAGCTATATTTTGTGTTTGAATTACAGAACTAGAGTCTCCTGCTTATCATAGCATTTGTAGTATATGGATGGTAACATAGCAGACAAAATGAAAGGTGTTTGGCTTACAGTGAACAAGCAGTGGAGTTGAGGAGACCTCGTTGCCGCGGTGTTTGTTGGTTAGCGTTGTCGACTGTTTTATTGGAGAGAAGTGCTTGGTGGTGGACGGTGTGTAAACATGCCTAACTTGAATTCCGGGAGAAGGAGAAGTCTGGATATTGCATTCCGCTGGAGATTGGAAAAAAAGGAAAGAAAGATTCAACCTGTAAACAAAACAAATTATTATTTCCCAAACTGCTGCAATTAGCAGTTTTTTTTTTTGCCTTACCTTTAGACAAGACTGAGGCCACCTCCAAGTCAGAGTTCACTTGGTCTTGGATGTTCTTGCTGTCTTCTTCATTCAGTGACTTCACGAAGCGGGAGCACACGTTCATGTCAAAGCGGTTAGGCAAGATGAATTTTATGCCCATGGCCACATTCTGCGAGCCGGCATCCTCTGTCGTGCCAATGCTTACAGAGGGCTCCACCTTGATGTTGGTCATCTCGGGCAGAGGACACATGCCTTCCATTTCTTCTGATGCCATTGGATTTCGAAAACTCGGAACGGCCACAGATAAGGGGGCTTATAGCTGAGGTGGATCAGTCCTTCACAAAAGCACTTATAATGTTTAACCCCCCATGAATACTACAGATGTGCACCCTGAAAAATAGAAGAGAGATGACTGGGACTACATAGGAGACATCATGTATTAGTGCAGCTGACTGGTGTAATTGTGTCAGATCGACAAATCAGTTCACTTATGAGAAGTAAGCCAAGTGCTACAGGTGTAAACAGAAGACAGATAGCTGCTCTTACACGATGAGATGTGCAGTCATTCAATATATCGGCCATATAAAGATTTTCATGTTCTGGGAAATGGAGACGTATGTAATATGATCTTGAGGAGCAGCAGAATGAACCCCGTAAGAACATTTTAGCATATAGGCTAAACTTGTAGCTAGCTTTAAGAAGCTAAGAAGGATTTGGTGTTTCAAACATCCTAGTTAACTACTCTGAAACCAAACAGTTCAACATAAAAACGTGAAAATATCGAGCATATAGCGAGCTAGCTAGCTCTGTAGTAAATGTTTTCCCTACATAGCTGTGAAGAGGCTGAATTTGGCCTCTGAAGCGCTCTTTTTTCCCGTGCCACCTTAAATGATGCAGCAATTTCATTCTGGTGCACCATTTAAGGTGGTAACTTTACAGGAAAATTCAAATAAGCAGCTGAATTCAGCTTCGTATATCTGTGAATGTCTGGTTAGCTTGTTAACTAAGTTAGCAAAGCAGCTAGCTAGCTTAGATGCACATCAAAGTCTGTGTCAGTTAAAGTGGGTGTCTAAAATAATGAAAACCGTTCGCCAAGACAATCGACTGGTTCATATCTAAACCACTACCACTCAAATTTCCAGGCATACTGTACTTTTGTTTGCAACGTTAAGCTTACTACACCAAGAAAGCAGGCTAGCTAGCTAGCTGGCTAGCTAACTTGACAGGTATCTGTGGTGGATCATTCTTGGCCGAAAAACACCATATTAAAGTTGCTTGCGCATTGTATACTATGCTATAGGTACGTCAATTAATATGTACTAAGAATACCCGAATTTTAGTCCTATAATAGCAGATAATAATATGACAATAAAATAATACTGTACCCGGTTAACGGGCAGCGGTCAGTGAGCAGAGTCGGTGGTGTTGTTTTGAAAGGACGGGTTGTTCCCTGAATTCAGACGGAATAAAGTTTTTCAAATGGTCTTTAGCACAGGCCCGTTTTGACCGTAGTACAGTCAAAGAATTTGTCTGTTTATCCGTCTATTTGATATTTTACTTAAATAAAAAGAAATTAAATAAGTACATTAAGAGATTTGCACTCAGTGGCATGTATTCAGAATAGGATACATTTAACTGGAAGCGAAAAAATGCTTTTAGTACTAGTATAAAATACTATTTGTACTAATATCACTACTTCTGCAAAGGATACAATGTTTACTCAAATCAAAGTTTAACAATTAAGCGATAATAAAAACAAGTAAATAAGTATATAGCCTATTATTATTATTATTATTATTATTATTAATAATAATAATAATAATAATAATAGTGCACATTTTACGCTATTTCCTCTTTGTCTCTCTATCATTCACTCTTCTGCTCATATATTCTGGAATGCTAGAAGTTTGATTGCCTTTTTTTGCTGCTGCAGACCAGAATAAATCATTATGGAAGCTGAATGACATCTCTGAGAAATCTGAAAACGAAGGTATAAAGGTACAGGTTACTGTCAAGTAATATCATTGGAACTTGCACCTATTAAAAAAATAAAATAAAATAAATACATAAATGATAATAATAATAATAATAATACATTAAAATAAATCTTGATGTTATTACAGGTTTGAATTGATTTCTTTCACTAAGGTGAAAGTGTAGACTCTTTCGCCTCAAAAAGAGGTACAAAAGTATCCAGACACCCTTTTCCAGTCAGTAAACTGAACCACTTTAAGGTCCACCCTTTGCTGACACAGGCATTCACAGTAGAACCAATAGTATGGGACGCTGCAGCGTCCATACATACAACGCCCAGCATCAGCTATAGGGGTATAAATCCCCCCACCATTGGGATGATACATTTGGGATTAGTTGGAGTGCGGGTTATGATCCAAAACTAGTCATCCAACATCACGACCTGACCTCTCTAGTGCTTTTGTAGCTAAATGCAATCAAACCCCAACATCAATGTTCCAACATCTAGTCTAAAGCCTTCCAGGCAGAGCAGAGAAAGAAATATGCGAAGAAATATTGGTCAGGCAGGTGTCCACAAAGCTTTTAGACATAATTCTGTATAATTACGCAAATGAATTTTATCCATTCCTTCATATCAAGAATAGATTCTTCTTTTTAAGCCCTGCTTTATTCTTGAGTAAAGGATGAAATGGGCAACACTTAGTTCTGTAATTATACAGATTTCATTGTCTTATTACCAACAATGTCACCCTCACAAAACAAAGGATTATCGGTTCGAAGGGTCGCTAAAATATCCTGCAAACTGAAGTCGTAGGGACGCTTGCCAGTCTTTAACTCAGAGAAAGGGCTTATGGTATTTTTCCAGCTGCATGACCATTCCATGGCTGCTTCTTCTGCTTGACTGAATGTGTAATCATGAATCCATCCAGTTTGCAGTTTTACCCCTTCATGGTCAAAGTTGCACCATGCTAATCTGATTAGCAGGGATATGCCAAATATTTCTACATAAGTCTTGCTTTGTGGTCTAAGTGCCTCCATTCACTTTTGTGTTCTCCGCCTGCTTCCTTGTGAACTGTTTTCACAGACCCCTGTCTAGATTAGGAATTTGTGGCAGTGGTTGGAACAGCCACTCTGCCCTGCTGAATCCTGTTACTGTCACGGCTTCCAACCCCCCAGTCCCACCCCTTCCAGTGAAAAGAACTTTTTCGGTCACGAAACAGTGTCAGTGGATGTCAAAATCTCCAATATGACAAAGTAATTTAATACAGATATAGTGCGTATATGTTAGTTTGTTTGGGGTTGTGTAATAGGTGTTATGTTTTATTTGTTATATCAGTACTTTGCTAATAAACCCCTTCAACTCTAGACTTATTATTCAATTACTCTTAAGTGTTCATTAAGAACTGTGAGTTCTTCAGTAACCTTAATGACACTGATATGTATGTAGTTGTCTGTGCGAGGAATCAAATAGTGAGTCTGTTTGTGGATCCATGCTGTTTAAACTGTACGATTATAAATCAGTTATTAATCTAGTTTCCCTTTTTTTACTGTGTCCACTCTTTGCCTTTATTACAGCTATTTGGGAGGCTTGCTTGAAATTTTTCAAAGAAATCCACAGAAATATTTTTCCACACCTCCAAAGTTCAGTCTTAGAAGTTGCTTGCATCTTCTGCTTGTCAAAGTCAAAGTGATCACAATTGCAAATTTAATTTAAATTGAACTCATCTGTCCATATAACCTCCACATCTGATATGTCGGTTTCTGTGTTTTACTGCAAACTCTCTTCTATTTTTTCTATTTTCTCAGTAATAGCTTCTTGACAGCTACACCTCCTTTCTGAACTGAGTTTCTTTCTTATCAGAGGTGAAAAATAATGAATTACATTTAATCTTGTTACAGTAATTGAATGCATTTATCCCTGTAATTGTACTTTTTTGAGTAGAATTAAATCCTAGGAGTTTCACTTTTACTTGAGTTATTTTGTAATAATGTACTTTTACTTCAGTACTATAATTTTTAATAAGCCTTACACAGTAAAAATAAGTGTGTGTTGTGGCTCATAAGCCAATTAGAAGAAAACCCAGGTAATTTTGAAGGATTCAGTTCTGAAAGCCAGTCAAAACAGAACGTCTCCCAAAAACACGTCAGCTGATAAATTGAGAGATGGCAAGTTTGGAGGAAAAAAAAATCAAGAACCAAGACATTAGAGGGTCGCTCGCCAGAATTGAGAGAAAAAAAAATAATAATCAGATCATCGTTTGGTCTGATTATAGTCCAGAAAAAAGGCAACTTCACTTAAAAATGCATTAACAAAGATTTAATCCGCAGTCTCACCTTACAGAAAGTACTACATCATCAGACTTTTTGTTTTGTCAGTTCATCATAAAGCACAGCCTGATTCTTCTTCTCACTCACTCACTCACTCACTCACTCACTCTCTCTCTCCCTCTCAGTCTTTATGGTTTTATATGTCTTTAACTGTATATCTATCTATCTATCTATCTATCTATCTCTCTCTCTCTCTCTCTCTCTCTATATATATATATATATATATATATATATATATATATATATATATATCCATAAGGGAGGAGAAAGTCAAATGAAATGAAGTGGGGGGAAATTGTCTGTTAAATATATACCCTGTTTTTTCTGACTTTGTTGAATTACTTGTGGTAGTTTTGGCTAAAAATTAATAAATGTATGTTCTATGGTTGATTACCTCAAACAGTAATTCTCTGTATTTTAAGAACATAAAACTTATTGACTCAAAACCCACTTATTATGAAAAAAAACAAAACAATGAGCAATATTCTTTCTCAATTAATGATTTTTGGGTTTTCTGTTCTTTTACAAAGTACAGAAAAAAGAACTATCTTTTCCCCACAGAACCATCCATTGACAGGTTCCTTAAATAAGCAATGGTGACATTTTTTAAAGAAAAGTGGGGTCCAAAAGGATTTTTTTTTCATCTAAACCTGGAAATAAACAACAGAAAGTTTAGAATTTTTGAAAAAAAGATCAAAATAAAGAGAAGTTATGATAAGTAGAAAAGAAGAAGAAATATTCAAGATTTTGCACTTACAGGCTACTTTTCAATGTTAAGCAAATTCATGCCATTGACATTGTTGTTCGGATGACTCTCAGGTTGATTTGATCTTCTCAATATAGGATTTTGCGTAAACTTGTGGAGTCAAACTCGAGCGCACGCTGTCCTTAAAGCACAAGAGTTCATCAAGATTCTCATTTTCAGTCAAGCTGTTATGCTCACAGTATATTTCATAATGAAAAAGAATATAAAATGGAAGCACCAGTCATCTCAGACCTTTGGTCCCCACTATAATATGTAATAACTAGATGTAGTTAAGTTTGAAAAAGGTTTGAAGTAGTTAGAACTCTTGAGTGAGCAGCGACTCTCTATGGTCAGAAATAGCATTACACTGCTTAGCAGCACTCTTTCCTCTTTCTCTCTAGAGAATTACCACTGTTGAGGTCTGCACATCTAAATCACTCTATTCAAACAAATATTCTATCAGATTAGAGTAATGGGAAGAGTTTTTTAAACAGACATTTGAAAACTGGACAATTGATTTCTAGAGCAAGGATCTGTGTGAGCAACTGTTTTGGTCAGCTGCCTCTGGCCACTTGTGTTCCTTGGCTTTACGTGTTTGTTTGTTTAGAGGTGACTGTGCGAGGCTAATCAACACACATGCTTCCAAAAGCTGCAAAGTGGAGATTTCCTAACCCTCCGCTTATGGACTTTGCAGGATGAGAAAGTGTTTCAAGCCTTTGTTTGGTATTTAGCCAGCTCATAAATCCTATAATCTCTGTCTTTGGCAGCAAGAGGACTGCCTTGGCTAAAAGGACCTTTCCCTCCCCTCCATGCTTGAACCAACACATGAACATCAAAATGAATCACATCATCTTTCAAATTAAAGTGCAACTTTGTAACACTGCTGTAGGAGCCAAACCATAAAGACCATCGTTTGCATTGTGTGTAAATATAAATAGTTAATTAACTTTTTATGAAGAAGTGCATATTTGTATATACTGCTGCTTAATGTAGTATTAAGATGCTAGAAGTGATATTTGTACTGATTATGTAGATACAAATGTCTTCAGGCACCATTTGTTTATGTGCAGAAAATAGGTGCACTGTCACTTTAAGAGCTAACAGCCTAAAACATGTCTTAAAGACATGTTTTAGGCTGTGGGGCGTGAGCTGCAGAGGATACTGGTAGCAGCACAGTTTTCTTACCGTGTTTAGCGTTACGGTTTGTGTTGCATCTTATATTTGGAACAACCTAACCATGGTTTGAAAGTTTTGTTTTAATTTTATTTCATCACGTGTACAGTCTGGAATAAACAACCGTTTTGTTCATTCGTACACGGAGCCCTGTGGAAGTTTCCTTTTCTTCTCTGAAGAACGCAGACACGAGTAAAGAAGTTGCTTCAGCCAACCCAGAACTATGTTCAGCTCATACAACTGCATTAAGTTGACATGGTA